TCTGGGATGGCACTGAAACAATAAAGTCAATACAAAGATAGAATTTTCTCCTCTGACCAGCTCATTTTTAGCTCCTCCCATTTCTTTTTCTGACATTATTTATTCCTGACTCCTTGTAAAGTACTGTCGTGCAACCTCTTACTTGCACATTCATGTTTTCCAGCCCAACTCCCTCCTACCATTAATTTTACTAATGAATAAACAATCTGAGTTAGTAGTGGGAGCTGCTTGCAACCATACCATGGACTCTTCTGTACACACATGGGGAAAACAAGACACTGCTGTACAGCAGCCCCACACCACATGCCCTGGCACCTGGCAGCACCACCAGAAGGGTGCCAGCACTGCCATCCCCTGCTTCCACACAAAATATGTCTAAATTTAATCACTTCTTTCACTCCACACCAGCAGATCATTACAGCCTAACCAGAAAATACACTCATTCTCCATGAGGATGATGAAGTGGGATTTTCTTATTTCAGCTGTAGTCGCAGGGTTATTTGCAAGGAGAAGCCACACTTCTGCCTCCGAGCAGCCCTTTAGCTTGTGAATCTCTGCCCTAGGTTTGGATCTCCTCCTCTAGGAACAGCTGTGCCATGGAAAAGCTCAGCATCCTTGGCTGCTTGTCCCTGCTCTCTGCCATAAGGCTCCAGCTGAGCTGCTCTTAAGTACTTTCTAACCTATTTACTCAGGATCAACCAATACAAAGAGTGATTATTTAGGCTGTTTAAACCACTCCAGCTTATTTTGGTTGACATTCTGCAGAAGAGCTCACATAAATGTCTAAGCTGCCAGAGGTAAAGTTTACAACACCCTTACTGAAATATTTTCTCCTCCTACAAATTAGGAGTGATAGCCAACAGCAAGAGAAACAGCAGCAGACAAGAAATCCCTGCTGTCATCCCAAAAGAAGCCAGGGCATTTGGCACACTCATTATCACCGAAGAAATCAATTTTAAGAGGAGGGCAAGTCCAGTGCACATCTGCTCAGCCCTTTCTCTCAGAAAAGATGTAACTTGGAGCTTCATGAGACAGGACAGCCAGGTGAGCACCTACAATAATACTTCACACAAACCTGTGCCTTTGGAGGAAGGCGAGAGATGCTGGTAAAGCCCACCACATCACCCTAAGGCAACAAGAAAGAGAAAAATGTTCCCACCACAGGCTAGACTGCTTGCTTACTAAGGTGTTACCAACAGTGATAACTGTTCCTTTATACAGCCCTACCCAACCCCACCCACTGCCACCAAACACCAGAAAAATAATCAGTGGAAGAAAGACTACAGCAGCATAGCAAGATTTGGGAACAGAAACTGCCTTTCTGTTCTGCACATGGGAGGCACTATCACAACAAAGTCATGGTGCATCACTGTGGCTCTTAATTATCATCAGACAGACATACCAGCTAGAACACTACAAAAAAAATGATAAGGAATTCCAGTAGTAACACAAAACCTCAGAGTCCCTACCTTCTTGCTAAAGGGAAGTGCTAGGGAGGTTATTTTAAATGAGCCATGGTTCATTTAGAGTCTCACAGCAAACTTGTCCACATAACAAAATTTACAGTAAGACAAGGTACTAAACCATTCCTGAAAAAGGTTAGCAAAGATAGAGGCCAGGCTCTCTTGTAGCAAGTGATACCATCAACATCACTGAGATAAGTGATGAGTTAGCAACACTTCCACAAACCCCAAGACAGGTGATAAAATGATCATCTCATTACTCTTATCCTCTAAAAAACAGAACTCTGTTTGGACATTAAGGCCAAAATTCTCAGACTCAAGAGTAAAATATGGCACCAAGTCTCACTTGGATCACAAAACTCCCCATGATAGTCCTTTTATCATTACAGATTTCAGTGTTTGGTACTGCCCAAGCCTAATAAGGAACAAATGACAGTGAATGCTGACACACTTCCCCGTGACAAATGTGAGCAACCAACAATAGACTGGTCAGATTTGCAGAGCCACCAAGGGAGCATCGTAAGGCAGTTCAAGCAACCTGGTAAATTTAATACTGCTGATTTATCTAGATTTATCCTTAAATTCATTTGTAGTTTAAGCGTTTGATTCCTAATTTCCAACTTCAATGTGTAAGCTCGCAAAGTCTTTTGTTTGTATGTCTCATAGGACATACACCCTGGTGGAAATACTTTAATTCCGCTGTATAAAAACAAGCTTTGCTTAGAACAGCAAACACAAGAGCCCAGATTAAATTTCTAACCATAATATCATTGCTATATTATAAATTCAACATTATCGAGAGGAAAAGTGGTAACACTGTTACTGTTAAAAGCTTCCAACATAAACATGCAGTAAAATACAGTTGTTACTAAGTGTCAGCAATGCAACCTCACATGTATTTTGTAACTTATAGTTGCTACTACTCAAAAAGTTACTAACACTGAGCAGAAGGATGATAGGGGGTGGTAGGCATAAACTATCAGCACAAGTCTACAATTCTGGCACCATGGTGGATAATCAGCTTCTAAAAAAAAAAGAGAAATATATATACAGAACACATGCCCACGTCTGTAGGATTCTAGTGCCGCTTGCAGCTTTCTTTAAATAACGGATGTGCTACTCACTTCCTCAATTCTATTCAAAATCTGTGGGCAGCCATAAACTTGCCCAGAACCATGTGTTTTGTAACACTGCAGCTGGTTGAGAGTCAGGCACTGAGAAGCCAGAAGTTGACAAGGCAGAAAAGCAAACCATTTCTCCCTCCTGCTCCCTTCAAGAGCAAGGTATCTGTCAGCAGGATGCAGGTCAGTGTTTGAATCCTCCAGAACTGAGAAAAAGTTTTCCCCCTTCCTTAATGTAGTGTAGAATTTCTGCTTTAATATAAACATTTACCTGAAAACATCAATTTAAGCGATACATGGATCATTCTTCCTCACAGATGGAAAGCTAATTGGAGAACAGCAATCCCAGGGAGAGCTCTTTAAAGGCATCTGGAAACATGACAAGTTTGAAGTGGGAGCAATGCCCTGGTCCTGCTGAGCTGAGTTTGATGCTTCATCCCCAGCATCTGCCAGGAGAAGCCGTGCTGCTTTCTCTCCACTCACCTCCTGACAACACAATCCCTGCCTCTACCTGTGACAGCAATAGCAAGGTGTAGCCACAGGGTGAGTTAGCAAACTGATAAAAACATTACTGAGTGGGTAAGTTTCCCATGAGCTAAGCAGCATGAAAGAAATCATCCTGCAATCACTCAAGCATTAGCTCTGCCAGTGGAGCTGCAGCAGATCAGGCACAGGGCAGGACCACCCAGAGGCACATCCGATGAAGTACCTGCAGCACCAAACTGTCCTCAAAGCCTCCAGCACTAGATTTTGCTGTCTGAGTGTAAATCTTCTGCTTAATTTTCAATCCCTAGAAAGTTCATGAGGAAGTTTAAAATTTAAAAGAAGTATTTTGCATTGTTTTCTTACAGAATTATTTCAAAATGTAAAAAACATCCTGTGATGATGTATGACAGAACCAGAGGTTCAACTTCAGAAAAGCCAGTACAGTAAAAACATGCCGGGTATTTCAGATCATCATCTTAACATACTGCTGGGTACCCTCCCATTAGTATTATCAGATAAGGTCAGTTATTCAAAGGAATCAAAGTTCTCACAGTACTAAATTAAATACATGTGGAACACATTCAACTTAAACCAGAATACACCACTCACATGGAGACCCCAAAGAACAACCAGGAAAAAGGAACCAGGTTGAAATTCACATTTATCCATGGGGGTTTTTTTCAGCCTATAAGATTCTAATATTTAATCATAATCACTCACACTCATTCTGCTGAATTTTTTCATTACATGGCACCTTCTTCGTAACAATTTGCACTTGACCAGATGGTTATGGTGTGAATTAAGCTCATTTACCATGCACCATGGTTTTCACTTGTCAAGATGCTAAATCCTGGTCTGCAATTTCTGAATAATACACTGATAAAATGAGTTTATTTTCCTCACCAAGAAAAAGGGAACAAAGTTCTTCCCCCACTGCCCTGCAAAGATGGAAATTAACATTCATAACAAGACTCACATGATGAGTAGCTGAGCACTGCAATATTTGTTAGAACACATACTTTTAAGTCCTGCAAGCAAGGACAGGCGCTCAAATCACCCCATCCTTAGTTTTAATCATGAGATCCATGCAACACATTCTTATGAGCTTTGTGCCAACCGTTTTTCTTCTTGCGAGGTGGAACAGCTTAGACAGGACCTCTGTCCTAAAGCAGCTTACACCTCCCACTTCAGGCAAATAAAGAGACTTCTGAGAGGCAGGACAAACAAGTCCATATGCCAGGAGGCAGGAGCCAAAGCAAGTGTCTGACATCATAGGTAAATAGTCCTGCTGCTTTGCCTACTGACAGCTTGTTCTGCTCTGGTCCCATCCACACCTGCACAGAACAGCAGCAGTTTTGCTCTGTCAGTAGGCTTCCACGTGCATCACTGTCTGGGCCCTCTCCAGAGAAGGGACCCTCGAGAGGGTCTAGAAAAATGTGCAATGTGACAATTCAAGCAGGCACAGGGCACCTGGTAAGATTGATGCTCTTTAGTAAGGAAATGGAGAAAGGTCTGAAATTTTCCCCCAAATTTAAGCAACTGCCAGTCATAGCAAAAGCTCTAAGAACTTATTTAAATGCAAAACTTCTGTTCACAGGCTATTTTCATTTGTACTTTCTCCTGTACATAAGCATGTTCATATTTTAAATATTTCACATTAAAGAAACCAAGCAGAATAGCTGGCATTGCTGAACAAATCTCACATTTCACAACTAGAGAACATACCACACCAAACAGCTGCATCTGTCACAAAGAAGGTAAAACAAAAGCCCCAAGGAATCATATGACCATTGTCATTAGTATTAACAAAGCACGTTTTCCACAAAAAGAAATCAAATTACATATTTCCTACAGCAAGTTTAAAGCAAAAACATCAATAATACAAATCAGTAGCTGGGGCATTCTTCAAAAAGTAGTACAGCCAACTCACTTGAAAACAGCTTCTCAGAACAGGCATCGAAGACATCAAATTCATTCCAGGACACTGAACATGGAAAATCACCCAAATTTTCTTAATTAGGCTTCTGAAAGACACAAGCCAATTAAAGGAGTCAGGTTTAAATTTTGTCACATGTTCAAGCTCCTCCTGGATTCAAACAGACCCCTTCCAGCCTCAAAATCCAAAAGCTATCTTCAGGAAATCCACTTCTGAAACACTTCTGCCACCAACACCAGGTCACACATTCCAATTCCCTGTATCTCCCACGCCAATGCACTTAGAGCCTGGTTCCCTCGTCAGAACCCCCTGATACAGGACATAACCTGTCTGTACTACCTGGCATAGGCACACTTGCACTCCAAAACACCTCCTACTGAATAAGGCCTTCAGAGACAAAGCTTTATTAAAATAATTCATAATAATGAATAATTTCATAATCATAATTCAGATAAAACTGGGAAAATTCTCAATTCCCCTGAATGCTCACTGAAAGCATTCCTTTGCTCCCAGAGACTACAATCTAACATTGTTTAATTACTTCAAAGACACTTTGCCTAGGGCTAGCCAATATAGAGAGAAAAATTTATTCTACAGCAGTGTTGCTAATTTATCCACAAAGCTCTAATCTCACAATTTTAATAAACCTGTTGCATCACAAATAGTTAAAAAGAAAACCATGGAAATGTTTCCAGTCAGTACTCTGACAATGCAATACAGCTGTGAGAATTAAAAAAAAAACCTGAAAGTAGAGAACCTTGAAAGGAAAGCAGAACATATGTTGCCCCGTCTATTTAAGCTTTTACCTCCCACTCACACTGACACCCATAAACACTATGCCAGATCTGTGATAAAAGCACCCATCCCTGTGAACCCAGCCCCAGGCTGTCAAAATCAACTCTGATAAGCTATTAAGAGTCATTAGGAAAGTTCTGCACTATTGATACAGTGAAACAGCCAAACACTGAATATGTTCTGAGGCTGCTATTCCTAAAACACTTCATAATTGTTCAATTTTCGCCATAGTGCAGTTTCACAGAAAGTTTTGCCAGCACAGACATATCATCTAAAAGAGTAAAGGGGGAAAAAAAAAAAAAAAAAAAGCCCTATACTAGGCATCACAACTATTTCAGCAACCCAACAACCATGGAAAACACAAGCACTTCTGACAGCTTTGCTTGTGGTGTTTGTGGAGCTGATACAGTGCTAGCAGAAGCACTGAACACACTGCATGCAGATTCCTTTGGAATCTCTAGCAACACTTTCTTTGCAGTGTTGATTAATGATCCCTTTCTAACAGCTGGACCACACCAAGAACATAAAGCCCTGGAGGTAACTTCAGTGATCGCTGATTTCACACAACAAAGGTTATACCTTTAGATCCAAACAACCAGGGCTTGATCACCATTGTCAAACACAAACCAGTATCGTGTTACACTGAGATACATTCAACATGAGATAGCTTGTTGATTTTTTTTTAAGAACTCCAGAATTTTTCTCAGCCTGTTGGAAAACAAAACAAAATAAAACCATGCTTGTGACAAGAATTCATAGAACAATTTAGGTTGGTAGGGACCTCAAAGATCATCCTGTTCCAAGCCCCCTGACATGGGCAGGGACATCTCCCACTAGAGGAGGTTGCTGAATGCCCCATCCAACCTGGCCTGGAACTGAGGGGGAAAAGGCAAGGCTTTCCTTTGTATGCACAATCCCACTGTGCCTCTAGACAGGTCATGTGCCAGCAGAAGAACCCTTCCAGCAGCAGCTGCATCTCACTTCCCCTCTGAGGCTCACATGCTGCCCCAGTAGCGATACCAGCTGCACGTACTCCCTGCCTTTCTTTGCCCCCATGGCCGCCAGAGACGATCCCAGTGCCCATCATTCCCCCACAGACGTGCTCTGCTGGCATCTGGGGGACTCCACTGCAAACCTGATCAGGGAGTCTGGGCATAACCCTTTTCTTCTGGCTGGGTACATTTGCTGATCTGCTTCATAGATCACCAGAGGTTGTGCCAATGATACCGTGAATTGCAGAAGTCTCCAGGCCACTATTTCTGCTGCAGATCAGGTACAGCTGAACTACGGCCTCAGATGACATTCGGTTTAGTGAATCTTTTACAGAAGAGCAGAAGAAATTCTTTAAAGCAATAATAATAAAAAAGCTGGCTGGGGCAAAGTCAGTTTAATTCATTTTTGACACCTAGTGTCATTGGCTCACTAGAAGAAGTCTTGCTTCTTTGAAGCAGAGCAGCTTGTTAATTTGTGCTGGCACCTCACTACAATTTTTTGAACTTTAAAGTGAAGGAAAATGTTTAGAAGCACAATTTTGAAAATTATAGAATCAAAGAGATCACAAGAAGTGCATTCGGGACAGCATTTAATCCAAGTTACTACACAATTTTTTTTTTTACTATCAACACTCTGCAGCATATTCTAGTATTAAACAGGACTGCAGAACAAGCTCTACCATGAAATCAGAGAAGTGGGAAGAGTGCCCTGAAGGTTATTCATTAGCATTATCTCTATGTGTAGCTCACTGGGGAAAGCATAAGGAAAACTCTTCTGTGGCATTCTATTCAAATGTATGAGGCGTATTTAAATGAGTAAGGGAAGTATTTCTGATGCAGATTTCACAGCAGGTCCAAGACAGCATCAGTTTCATTAATACTCAAACATCCAAACTGAAGAGCCCTTTGCCATACAAAATTGAAAAAGATGTGCACCTTGCGTCTCCTGAATTATACAAAGGAGCCGAGCCAACTCCTAGAGTTTCTAAGTTGGCATCGCACTTTTCATTCGGAGACGAAAAGTCCTGAACAGTACCTACTAAAAACAGAGCTTGGCCTAAATTTTATGCCAACAGTGAGAAGAGGAAACTGACAAGTTAATCACAACCTACAGCTACGTCCCCTTTCTAATGGCTGCATCTCAGAACTAATCCCCAAAACTCCTTCCTGCACCCCGACCTCATCCAGGCTATTTAAAGACCAGGGAACAATAAACACTGACGAGCAGAACGGGCCGGGTGAAGGAAGAGAACGATTACAATGGCTGCACAACAAAGCCTGGAAAAGGAGAGTTAAAGATACTTTTTGCGAGCGGCACAAGCGCCGCAGCTCGCTCCGCACACGCCGCCAGCCGCGACCCCGGCCGGGACACTCCCGCCGTGTCCCCGGCCACTGCCGGCGGTGACCCCGCTGCTGCCGGACCCCGTCCCTGCCCCGCCGGGCACGGCGCACCTCGGCTCTGCCCCGGCACCGCGCACCCCTCGCTGGGTACCCGCTGAAATGGGGGCACCCTCGTCTGCTCTCCCTCCCCGCCCAGCGGGGTCCCCCCACCGCCCCCCGGCACAGCGGGGACCGCCCGCCGCCCCTCAAGCGCAGCCGGGACAGCCCGGCCCCGTCCCGCCCGCACGGAGCCCCGCCGAGCAGCCCGGGAGAGCCTCGGGGCAGCCCCCCCGCGCCGCTCGCTGAGCGCGGCCCCGCTCCCCCCGCGGCCGCAGAGGCCCCGCAGCGCCCCCAGGTCCCGAGGGGGACAGAACCGAGCCGGGTCCCCGCGCCTCTCCCTCACCTGCGGCTGCTGCGGCCGCCCGGCCCCGGCCGCGGCCCCGCTCCGGAGCGTCCCCGAGCACCGAGCGCGGCCCCGCTCCCCGCGCGCGCCCGGCCTGCCCCGCCCGGCCCGCGTCACCCGCACGGCGGGCGCGCAACGCGCATGCGCGGGGCGGGGCCACGGGGGCGTGGTTCGTGTGAGCCCCGGGAGGGACGGAGAGAAAGGGAGAGATGGAGAGAAGGATGGAGGGAGAGAGGGAAGGGGAAGGGGAAGGGGAAGGGGAAGGG